GAAATTCATCTACAGTCGAAAATGTAAATGTAGGGGAGTTGTCCAAGCGTTCTTTATTGTGCTAAAATCCTCTACGCTAAATTTTAACCCATTTAATGTACCATACTTTGTTTTTAAAAAAAAAGATAAACATTCATTGCATTGCACTAATCCGAATTATCCGTGTAGTCATTTCCGTGTACAATATATGCAAAATCAGGACTGGGTCACAGAAAACACGTGTCCATAATTAATGTATGGAAATATTATATTATAAATGGCGATTTTGAGTGTTTTAATTCCTGGTCGGGTCTTAATTGTTTCCTATCTTTGAGTATACCTGGGAAGCATTTTGAATTTATTTGTCAATAACACATGCTAATATAATAAATTGTACAATTATACGTTAGGTTTTGGAACTAAAGCATTTGACTGGTTTCCCCCTGGCAATGATACAGTTGTTGGTTTGATCGGCTGTAACATTCAACTTCAATGGAATTTACAGATAAAAAACTTCGAAACTTCAATCAAGGTAACGAAAAGAATACTGTTTTATGGGGAATATCTCTATATCTTGGGAGAATCTGGAAAATCAATTAACCATCTTTAACTGTAAGACATCACTCTAAAGTAGATATGATTCACTAACGATCAAAATACTGGCAGAACTACACTGAGTGTCTTTGATTTCGAAAAACGAAATCTAATTTCGGTTGTGATTCAAACTAAGCCGCAACTTACTATCGATTATCCCCATGGTGTATGATCACGTTTTAAATAGAAACCTGTCAAAATGAGGAGTTGGGGGTCCGGAGTATTATGCAGTGATAAGAAACCTGAGGCCTAGAGATGGTCAGGCTACCCTAATACTTGTCATGTATAAACATGTGATCGGTACCACGCAACTTGAATATAATCTAAAATATTGACAAGAAACAATGTTGAGATATACTGACGGATTATCGCTATTCTTCACAGTGGCGAACGGCAATGACAGTGGAGTTTATTACATGACAATAATGTAGAGAAATCAACTAACCTTGATGATCGATGTACACAAAAGGTCCTGGCACCAGTCTTCGTAAATACTGGTGATGTGAGGGGGCAGGGGCATGTCTAAATATGCATTTAAACTTGGACTGAAAGGGGTTTGTGAAATTAGTATCGTGGATTCATCCACGCAATTAACCCCACTAGCGATAAGGCGATGGTCCTCAGATCCATTTTGACGAAATTGGGGTCTGTATATGTTTGGTTGCTTTGAAATTGAATTTCGAGCACCTCGATAGCGCAAATGACTAGGTAATCGCCCCATAAATATATAGTTAAAGTATATAACAAATTAATACTACATGGCATTGAAATTGTTTCCATATGCCCAGCTAATATATTCGACTATTCAAAAGAAGCATGTACAGATAACCAACAAGTATTTTGTGTCGTTTTTTATACTCCAAAGAAATGAAATGAAATGGTGAAGTTTTGTTTCGCGAGGGGCGTTTGATTGGACACCAACAATTAATGCACATTACTTTTCTATTTTTTGTTTTCTCTCAAGAAGAAGGAAAACAATACACTGAACGATATCAAGAGGTATAAGATCTACAATAAAGAGACAGATGAGGGATTTAATATTTATATGAATATACCCCATGTTACAGTAAATGATTCTGGTGTATACAGATGTGTAGTTGATGAAACTCAGAAATACAAAGATATAAATCTCACAGTTATGGGTGAGTATACTAATCTCACAAAAAAATAATAAAGACGTCGCCTTTTTTTTCCATTTGTGAAAAGCAACCTCAGTCAAACCATACCATAGTACACAATACCGTCTCTCTAAAATACGAAACAGGGAGTGTTTATCTGATAATGCATGCAGCAACTTTTAATTCGTCTCTACAACATACCATTGGTGATGATCAATTTATGTTGGAACGAAATCTTATATTATGGTACATACATATTTATCTGATACTCTTCCAGATTTCAAATGGAAGACTGATGGCAAGTCTATAGAAGTTAGAGAAGGGGAAGATATTACCATGAATTGGGAATATATAACTAAGGCTGTATCTAAATATATTTTGGTTTATAGAATATCGCCGTTTGATGAAAAGTCCAGGAGAGTAAGTACTTTCGCAACACCATAAAAACATTTGCAATTCTAATAAGCTATTAAATTCAGTTTCAATCTACCATTGCAATTGGCTTTTGAGGTCAGATGTATTGGTGTATAGGATTGTAAACATGATACTGATCCAGGACGGATTTAGATACTATATTCTACCGACTATGCTACAACTTGAAACCAAGTGTGTTTATCAACATGGTTAACCACTAAATCATTTGGGGTTTTGGAAACTGGTTTTATGTGAATTAAAACACTTGTGAATTTCACTAGGTCATATCGGGGCTAACATATGGTTCAATTTTTGTTCTGTAATACGCTTGCGCGTAGGGGTCTTTAGCAGTGGGGGCAACCCAGGGGACCCAGAAAAACCGAAGAGTTTGTACAGTCGATCACACTCTTTGTCACGAACATGCGGGGAATCGAAAACACACATCCTGACTCAATGACAGACTCCAATACAACGCGCACGTGTTAACCATTCGGCACTCAGCCCCTTTGGCCAGACAGCATGGACCATCTCATTTGTTCTCACAATCGAGGAATCCGGATGAATACAAAAAGTCAGAGAGTCATGGTAAATAACAACTTCAGGAATTACTGGATAGATCCACGTTGCTTGTTGAATCATATTTTTTTACCCTGAGCCAAATAGCTAAGTATGCGGGGAAAGCACGTGACCCGGTCAGAGGCCCAAATGGTAAAACCAACTCTTGTTTTCTGGGGCTCGGAGAGCTTAATCATGATAGATTATCTAAAGACGGGTTCTTTATAAATCATGCTATGAATTATGCAGTTTGTTTGATGAAATCAAAAAAAAGTGCCAAGGGTGTCTCGTTCCTCCAGAAATATGCTCCAATTCACACCCTCAAATTGGCAGTGATCTTTTCCAAGGACTATACCTTCAAAATCCTTCCACAGCCAGCCTATTCTCTAGATCTTGCTCACGACGTCTTTGTCCTCTTCCAAAACTCAGATCGGTCTTTAGGTGCCGCAAATTTGGGACAGATGATGAGGTCAACCCTTCTGCTGTAGATAAATTTGTATGGTCACGTTACAAACAGTGGGGTTTTCAGACGGAATAAATATACCGTAGAAACGGTGTAACAAATGCATTGATGTAAAAAGTAAGCCACACATTAAACGTATGGAGAGCAGATCAAACTTTATTCACCTACCTATGGCGAGCTTTCCGATTTATGTACTGTTCTCAATAACCTTTAATAAACGTTGATCTATTTGTTGTTTTATTCAACAGGATCTTGTTCAGTTGACAATAGAAAATATGGAAGTGAAGAGAATTGATGACAGGGTTACCTTAACTCTAGATACGGATGACAAAGGCACAACAACAGTGTTTTTTACTTTACGTAAAGTAATGGAGGAAGACGTAAACTATAATTACTTCATAGAATTTAGACATAGTGATAATTGCTCCATGATCAGCGAACCAGTTCTTTTGAATGAGGGTAAGTTATTGCCTTAATTAGTTGATGCTTAAAGATGTATTATTTTAGAGCTAAATCTAAATATTGCAGATATTTTTTTTGGCCTCAAATGTTATATAAACTATAATCTAATCTCTATACCATCGGATGATTGGGATGTTCAACGGATCAAAACACGTTCTTCAGTTAACGATTTTTTAATTAAAAAAACTGGATAATCGAAACTGTGTTTTATCGTTATAACGGTAGCAATCACAGTAGACACTACACTATTCTTTAAACGATCATACCTTCGCTCAGAATGACGTAATATGGCTGAAATGTTCAATATATTCCCGTTTCATTATCAGCCTCATCCCATGTCAAGTGCTGGCCGGGTGACTTCCTCAGAATATTATGAACAAAATATATGTTATGGTACATACAAACGTATGTAAAACTGCAAGGTTATATGACCATAGCCATAATATTGATTGAGATGGCCCTTTGACTTAAGGTATCAATTCGCAAGTTTTGAAACTACTATTTTGATGATCTAATTTTATATCTTCTAGTCTGTCTGACATTTGGTAAGAGAATTTTATATAGATTGAGAATTCACCATGAAATTTTACAGAACAATTACCGTCAACTGTATATGGAGTGCCATAAATGCCCCCCCCCCCCAACCAAAAAAATAAAAAAATAATAATAAAATAAAATCAATACTTCGATACAGTGAAGAAATTTTACTACGCTATATTAAAAGCCATATCTTTGTTGTCGGTGTCTTGCAAAATTAGCATTCCGTGAAAAAATATGAAACATTGGGAAAATATTGCTTATATATGAGTATATCAATGATTAAAGGCCCATCTTTTATATTTTACTACTTCATTTATTTACCATACTTTTCGAAGAGAGCAGTGGACTATGAAAATGAGTCTGTCCGCCCTTCACACTTTGATTAGGTAAATGCCTTGACAGAGTACGAGCATGCACATTTTTCACTAAGGCTAAGCATTGATAAGCAATTTGATTGGTTGAGACAGGTTAATATATTTACATTTTTTGCCCCTTTGAATGGATATCGCTTCCAATACTTTATTATCAAATCACGCCCTGCAGAGCAAGCTTATGACTACGCGTAGCTTCTATAACCTGTATGTTAATAGTTTTCCAGTAATCCCCTAATCGTGTATACTGCCCATTTAAGGTAGATGATAGAGCAAAAATGTTTTGTTTTTCAAATTTATCCGGAAATGTAAATGATAATACAAAATAAAAAGATAATTCCTTTAAAACCTTTGCAGGTTGTTGTCGATCATTTGATAATTTGGGTGATCAGATCAGCTGATCTCTACTGTTATATTTTTCCAAGACAAAGCTTTTGTATGGGCATATCTCTAGGCTTTGCGTGGCTATCTTTGTACATGTATTTTCCTTTGTTATACAGAACCTAGATTTGTTGTTCCTAACAAAACTGTTTTGGGAAGAATTGGTCAAAATATAAGAGTAGTATTCACATACAACTATAGATTCGAAGCAGTCAACGTTACTGTTTCACGTATAGATCAGTCGGGAGTATCCGTAAGATAAATTTTTATTTTAAACATTGCCTGAATTTGTGTAACATTTACTGGTATAAGTTCATATACCACAAACACTAACGTTTTATTATATACGCGGGTCCTTCTGTCAACAATTAAATTTGTACTACCATCCGTACCATCGTCATGCCCCTATGCTGCTTCGTGAAAGCGAAAGAGGCTCAAATTTCTAACGAATTTGTTGTAGTCATATAACGGTGCTGGCTCGCACAAGGAAGTCTCAGGTTCGGACTAGGTGTTGGAATTTTTGCGCACGATTTCCCCTAGTTAGTGGTGAAGGAAGGGGGCCTGGCAAAAATAATGTTTAGTCGTTCTTTGGGGCGGAAAACCGAGGTTTCGGTCAAAAGTTTCCCTCATAGCACACTGTGTAGCGCATACCGTCTTCATTGGCCCATTTCAGTTTAAGCAATATCAGCAAGCCACTTAGTTGATTAGAAGCATACATCATTTCAACTTAACTTTAAGTAAATCTAACCAGAATTATAATTCCAAAATAATTGCTTGTATATCCATTGCATGCGTCATTAAATTATTAATGGCATTATTATAGTTATTTGATGCTTTTTCCATCTATTTTGGAACACTCCCATTTCGTTTTGTAACTCGATTGTTCAAGTGCTCATGGTTATCAAATTCTCAAACATTCATGTAGATACACTTTTTATGATTATGAATTGCTCGGTCGAGTTATGAGCTGGGCACATGTGTCGTTCCTTGGCAATGCATTTTTATATTACAGTTTGAATTGGGTTGCTGGGGCGAGAAACCTTTTTATCCAGTAGACAAGAGACTGTTGTTCCGTAAAGAATCTACACCCCAAGAACAACGTCAGATATCATTGACCATACTAGATACAATTTTTCAAGATTATGATGCTACCTACAAATTTGATGTCATATTCCAAAATGGCTATACAAGTTCTGTCGAAATTGAAGTAAAGTTGCAATCTGAGAAAGGTTAGTGGACAATTCCTGAATAGTGTTTACTAGAAGTAACCAATATGTACAGTTGCTTTGTTTCTATCAAGTATTACTTATTGAAAGAAATGGAGTATTGTGGCAACTATGCTCCAACGGGGTTATGGTCTATATTCCGCCAAACACATTGTACCAATATTAATATGCATAAATAAAAACCCATTAAATACTTGCACTTCATTGAAATGCGTCTAAATGTCAAAGGCACACAGGACAGTTGGGCCGGTACTCTAAGTGAGCCTTAATGTAATGGAGTATATTTCCGTCCCTCAGCCCCAAAGACTGTTCCCAGCTGTCATGCAGAAATTGGTTAATACTCGTTTAATATCTGATATAATTTAGGGTATTGGAAATTCTAAACCAGACTTTAAACAGCAAATAGCAATGCCCTGGCTGATACACTCGTATGACAAAAAATATCTCCTACTAATGGCTGATCAACCTGGTTTTGTGTTTATTGTACCAATATTAATATGCATAAATAAAACCCATTAAATACTTGCACTTCATTGAAATGCGTCTAAATGTCAAAGGCACACAGGACAGTTGGGCCGGTACTCTAAGTGAGCCTTAATGTAATGGAGTATATTTCCGTCCCTCAGCCCCAAAGACTGTTCCCAGCTGTCATGCAGAAATTGGTTAATACTCGTTTAATATCTGATATAATTTAGGGTATTGGAAATTCTAAACCAGACTTTAAACAGCAAATAGCAATGCCCTGGCTGATACACTCGTATGACAAAAAATATCTGCTACTAATGGCTGATCAACCTGGTTTTGTGTTTATTGCTTGAAATGTGAAAACTAAATCAGTAAAGTTGACATACTTTGACGGTTGGAGCTAGAATCAATCTTGTGGGGAGATACGGTCCATAGTGGTGTCCTTCAGAAAGGGCTATTCGCAAAAGTGTCATAGCTGATACTAGTCCCGGATAAAGGGTGATGAATGCTATTACCGAAGTAATCACATCATAACTACACAAATATAACATGCCAGTACCAACCTGCAAATAACTCCATGCAGCACAAAAGTGCTGTTTCTGCTTACGTGTCCATATCAAAATGTTCTACAAACTCGAAAGACGCTCCGTTTTTGTTTTTGTTTTTTTTAGCTCAATTCATTTCGTTTGTCTGAAAAAGATTTGGTAGCACGTCTTATTCCTGCGTCCACAATTTTTTTTTATTTTAATTCAAAGTGGTTAGGTGGATTTAACCTTGTACAATACAAAGATATGTACCGAATATGAGTTTGAAATATTTAATTATTGTCACGATTTATTTGATTTAGATTTATGAATATGTAATAGTGTTTTACCATAAAACTATAATGTTTTTGTGATAGTGATACCTGAAACAAAAAAGATGAGCTTTGAACCCATTCTGTTGATCGTGTTGCTGTTAATAATAATATTGGTATGTTTCCTTGTTGGATTTTTTGTTCGTGGTAAGTGGTTATTACAATTAAAATACAAGGTTAATTTAAGAAATGTAATCAGATATTATACCATTAAACATGAAAACAAATGCTTCCCGTGGACGGGGGGTCACGTGGCTAAGTGGGTAAGACGCTGGCTCGCTAGCCCGGAGGTCGGGTGTTCGATCCCTGCATTGGCCGAGAAAGTTCATCCCGATTTTCCGGCGTGGTTTCCCCCTGTCGGTGATGCAGGATGGAGAGTCTGTCAAGAACAGCTGTCTAGTCGTTCGGATTGGACGAAAAACCGAGGTCCCGTGTACACATTGGCGTGCACGTAAAAGATCCCTTAGCAGTTGGAATTCGATATAAGAGTAGGCCGTAGCGCCGCTGCCCGGGCAAAATTTCCTTCATAGCACACTGTATGGCGTATGCCCGTCTTCATTAGCCCAGGTTAGGAGCAGAACAGTAGGACGTTAAACTCCATTTCATTTCCTCCCTTGGATATGCACTTTACAGGTTTGGCAGAATGGTATTAGCAATCTGATTAAAATACAGATATATATTTCGTTTCTTTTTTTATACTTTCGATGGTCTTTACTACATGATGACCTGACCGGTTGTAGTGGAAGGTTGCGTCAGGGGTCATCCGAGCGGTTTTTAACTCTATGTCGCCAGGCATTAATTAACCAATCAGTGTTGTTGTTTCTAGTTGGTTATCCACAGTTTCGTGCACCGCACGCCAAGAAGTATCCTTAACAGATCGTGTCATTGGCTAATCCCTCGCCTCAACCAGAACGCGGGTTATATAGCAACTCTTCCGGATCCCAGTGTAGTAAAGACTAGCAAAACGAAATTTTGAACTATAAAAAAACGAAACGAAATAGGATCTGTCTTTTAATCCGATTGCAGTATTATCATTATACATCAAAGTCGTCGTAGTTGCATCATTATACTGTAGAGACACAAATCAATAGTTGTATATAAAGCACGAAAAGTGACTAACTTGATTTTTTTTAAAGACCCTAAACGGACACAAATTATGTGTGTTGTGTTTCATTTCAGTCACAAAGAACACATGTATATCGTCCTAACATTAATATTTATATGAAATGTACATTGCAAAAATAAAAGTACGATTAAAGTTAGTTGACCAGTTGTGAATTTGTTCACACTATTTATATGAAATGTACATTGCAAAAATAAAAGTAAGATTAAAGTTAGTTGACTAGTTGTGAATTTGTTCACACTTTTTGATTTAAAGTTATGCATGATGTCAGCATCTTCTCCTTTCTATGGCCAAATATAGCAATTGGTATACGCTTCCCAACACCAGACATTTTTTTTTTAAATATGCCGAAAAACCTATTGTTACTTCTTCGATATAACATGTGGAGAGAGAGAAAAATGGGGTTTAACGTCCACTCGACACAAACTAGGTCATTTCGGGACTAACATATGGTTTAATTTTATTTACATAATTCGCTTGCGCGTAGGGGTCTTTAGCAGTGGGAGGAAACCGGAGGACCCGGAGAAAACCCACGAGGTTGGACGGGCGACCCTACTCCTTGTCACGTACAACCGGGGATTCGAAACCACGCCAGTCGACTCAATGACATTCAGCCATCCAACCCCCCTCTTCGATATAACATGTGGAATGGAGCTCGCTGGTCTGATTATCATCCGACCATGAGCATGTTTTTGTTTAATCAACTGCAGTAAATATAACATCAAAATGTTTGTTTCACTGTAACAACCTATTGGTGTTAGGGTAAACCCCTCTTCATGCTCATTAACACTAAACACTAATAATTATGTTTTACAGGCTTTAAACGTAGATCACATGACACAGAGAGACAGGAACGCACCAATATTTCTGAAAATAATAATTTTAATTTCAACAACCCTGGGGGAATTAGCACCATCCCTGATTCTACATCCATCGATACAGATATATCATCCAACAGCACAAATGCATATGCCAATCCTTACGATCCTGTCAACAGAGATGAAATTGATAACCGTAAAAACTTTTATATGTCACTACTAAATCCTGGAACTCGTGAGACTGAGCAAGATAATGTCAACGAGACAAATGTTGACGACAACTCAGTAGTCAGTAGAGATGATGTCCATGATTTCGTTTCATCCGATGATGATACACATGCGTCATCCAATGACACAGTCGCATATGCCAATCCTTACGATCCTATCAATAAAGATGATATTGATACCCGTAAAAACTTTTACACGCCATTACTAAATCGTGGAAGTCGTGAGACTGAGCAACAAGAGACACATATTGACGATAACTCAGAAGTCCGTATAGATGATGTCCATGATTTCGTGACATCCGATGATGATACAGCGACACGGAATTCTGATCCGTACGATGCCATGGATAAAGATGCCGATAGTACCAATATACATAGTTATTTGTCGCTGCCACAATTTTCAAGATCAGCCTGGGAAGAGAACGGGATATCGACAAATTCGAGAAATGTCGACCGCGTGATGATAATAAAAAAACGACCCTCAACCATCTAGGTTGACTTTAGACAGCTAGAGGTACGCTTTGTTGAATTAGGCCAATCAGGTTGCATTGTTTGTAGCTTTTGACAACATTGTTTGTTTTTTTACATTATTTCATCTGTCGAACATGATTAGCTTGCAGTGGTTTTCAATAGCCATGTATATAGATCTTGCGATTAAAATTCAATTATTCATTTGTATTTGTGTCCCGTCTTCATTAGCCCAGTCGGGGCAGAAAAGTAGTACGCTAATCCCCATTTTATTTCATTTTGTATTTTTGATGTCATTTTTAATATATCCCGTTGCCTTTATTACTTGATTTTTTATAATTTATATTTTCATTTGTGGTTTCAATTTTAATTTTTTTTTTTTTATTATAAATCGATTTTTTAATACATTAAATGTATTGATGTATACATAAATTTCTTTTGATTTAATGTTTTGTTTATTTTACAGTGAAGTAACTGATGCACGGTTATAATTTGCTTTTCGCTTTTGAAATTGTTTATTGTTGTTATGTTATTTTCGTTCGACAGACACAGTTCTGTAGTAACTTTCAATTGTTATGTTCGCTTTATTTAGAATATTTTTTTTGTTTCAAAAACTTGTTATATTAAATTGCCTTTTCGATTGAATATAGGTAATATATTACTTGATTGTTTACTGTATTGAAATATTCGCCATGTTGTTGTTTTTGTTTAATTTAATTTCTTCTTTTTAAAACTGTTTATTATCTTTTTAACATTTTCGATAAATTGATATTTTCAAATAAAAGTATTAGATTATATGCTTTAACCTTAATATTTTTTTAGAATGTGAATCATCAATTAATGTTATTTATTTTGGCTGTTCTTTGCCGCCATATTATATAAAGCCACCAACACACAAAATGTTTTGAGTCGCGTTGTAAAGCTGGAAAAGGTATTCATGGATCGCCGACAAGTCGTGGCGAATCGGGAGCAGGTCTTGTTGAAAAGGCATCAACTCGACCTCTTCCCGACGAGTGACCGTGACGGTCCAGGTCGTGCAGGACCAATTCGCTCCCTCCCTTATTCAACAAATCCTTGATAAAAGCTACTCGACCTAGTAACGGCCCCAACACGACAAACTTGCGTCAGTCCAGATGCTGCACAGAGCCTGCCCAGATCCATCAGGACCTCTGCAGAATAGTATAAAATGATCAGAAATAGGCGTGTAGTTTCATATCTTGTCTGGATATGCAAGAGTGAACATCTACCTGTCTTACTGCATCGCATCGGGATCGCGGTGGGCGTGTTAAGTTCTTCTTGAATAGCGCTGGGGGTCCCGGAAACTAGTTGAATTGTTTTCATCAACTTTGTACCGCGATTATTCGCGACATGCTAGAAATTATGAGTCTCCTTGGATCGCCAAACCATTTAGATGATCTGAATCAAATCGTGGTGTGGTCTGTTTATCAACAATCAGAGACGAAATACTTAAGTAACGCATTCAGTTATTAGAACTTAGAAACTATAAAGGAGTGGGCTGCGGAATTTAAGCGTGGCAGAGACCGCGTCGTGGAAGGCCTTAAACAGCAACCATTCAAGAAAACATGACAGGGTGATGGCTGATCAACGATTGACCACTCGACATATTGCCAGTGGGGTGGGCATCTTTCATGAAAGGGTTGAGCACATTATCGGCAACGAGTTAGGCACCACAAAAATTTCTGCAAGATGGGTGCCGGAGCTCTTGACTGCAGATCAGACACGTGTCAGATTCATAACGTCTTAGAACTTTTCAGGCGGCCATCTTAACATATGGCTAGATTTGCCTCACTATTTATGTCAAATAAATAAACTATCATTTTTACTTTAAAAGGCTATAACTATTAATCTCATAAGCTTAAGTCACATCGTGGTTGACATTCAACAGTTCTTTGTTTATTATGCCGTAACATCCGTCCGTACGTCCTTTCCCATGTGCTTGTGGGTCTTTTACAGGTCACAACTTTTATCCGATTTTGACGTTACTTAGAATATAGGTTCATATCCAAAAGATCTCAGATCCGTTCGATATTGGCATGTATTAGTCTGTAACTTCACTGATTATGACCCCCAGTTGTACGAAAAATCATTTTATTAGCTCGTTAGACCGTCCAGAGGTCACAAATTGTATGCGATATTGATGAAACTTAACACATATATATATGTTTATATCCCAAAGATCTCGGTTCCTGTTGATATGTGTGCATATCGTGCAGTAATTACTAGGCTTACGGCCCCCGATTGTACGAAAAATCTTGTGGATCGCCAGATGTCGCAATTTGATTACGTTAATATCAAACCAAAACTGCTGGACAAAAGGACCGCGATTTTCCTGCACCCAGGGATAATCCATATCGAAATGGACCGATATCTGTGAGATTTAAACATATGCGAAAAGGTGGGCGACAAGTTCTTTGGATAGTTTCCATCCAATTTTCTCGAAATTAGAACTCACCCATCATTAAAGTGTAATGGTGAAATATTTGAATAGTTTTAAACATCAAATAAATAGTATTAAATAATAAATATGTAGAGGGACCACAAGCAGAAGACGCGATTTTCTTTAAATCATCAGCCATGATGTTGGGCCAGTATCGCACTAGTATATCAATGTTGCGTTTGTAATAAATTCCTGTCATTTATCAAGACACATTCATGTCTATTAACAATCGTATATTTGCTAACATAATGCAATACACCTATTTAAACTTGAAACATCTATGATCATTTCATCTTAAAAACAATCACATGACATAATCACAACAAACATGATGCACCACTTTAAGGCATACATCCGAGTTTCTAAATCGGTTTCTAAATCGGAGCCGAACAGTGGGACGTTAAACCCCATTTCATTTCATATACCCACTAGCTCTACGCACCATATTTTTATGTCAAGCAATGTTTTGTTATATGTTAAGGTTATGAAGCTAAGAGACAAATAGGGTTTAGTGTTTCTGGACAATTTTGTTTCAATAATGGACTTACCCGTAGAGGTTTTTAGCAGTGGGAGGAAACCGTAGAAAGGACGGCGATGCTACATCGTGTAAGGTGGAAACTTAACTCATTGATAAACCTTATAATTGACAAGCACAGCACGCGTTAAAGACTCCCTCCCCTATTAAAGTTATACATAATTGAACATATTTTTTCATGAAATAAATCAATATGATAGCACATATGTAAAAATAAAAATCTACAACAAAAATATATTACTCAAGACGAATACGCAAATGATCAATGGTATAATGCTTGTTAGAAAATATGTGATTGTAGCTATTGACAATTCAACCCTTTTAATATCATTGTGGCACATGTCAAATATGTCAAATTATAGCTGTTAATTTACTCGAATTGCATACCATTATGGCAGATATTATTTTAGATAATATTTTAGTTTGAATACAATTTACTATTGACAAACACAAACAGCTCACACACCAATAAAGCCATGTATTCACAACTTAAACATAAATACATTTTATTTTCTTTCATAAAAAGATCAACGTTGACACATCATTTTCAATAAAGTTTTTGTTTGTTTGATGTCATGTTCTTGGTGGTAAATATGTGCCTCAATATTTCTCCGGGAATAAAAGTTTCCAAGAATTGTGTAATCTCAGAGAATATAGTTTATTGCGATATAAAATAAAGGAAGCCATCTGGTAAATTATATTTCAATCTGGAACATACCCGGGCAAATATTTATATTTTGATTAATTTTTCAGAAATATAATTTCGAATTTAATCCCATCAAGAATTATATTTACTGCTTATTTTAATGTAATGAAGTATATTTCCGTCCCTCAGCCCAAACGACTGTTCCCAGCTGTCATACAGAACTTGGTTAATACTCGTTTAATATCTGATGTAATGTTGAATATTGGAAGATATAAACACGACTTTAAACAGCAAATAGCAATGACCTGGCTGATACACTCGTATGACAATAAATGTCTGCTACTAATGGCTGATCAACCTGGTTCTGTGTTTATTGCTTGAAATGTGAAAACTAAATCAGTAAAGTTGACATACTTTGACGGTTGGAACTAGTATCAATCTTGTGTCCTTCAGAAAGGGCTATTCGCAATAGTGTCATAGCTGATACTAGTCCCGGATAAAGGGTGATGAATGCGATTACCGAAGCAATCACATCATAACTACCGAAATATAACATGCCAGTACAAACCTGCAAATAACTCCATGCAGCACAAAAGTGTTGTTTCTGCTTACGTGTCCATATCAAAATGTTCTACAAACTCGAAAGACGCTCCGTTTTTGTTTTTGTTTTTTTTTAGCTCAATTCATTTCGTTTGTCTGAAAAAGATTTGGTAGCACGTCTTATTCCTGCGTCCACAATTTTTTTTATTTTAATTCAAAGTGGTTAGGTGGATTTAACCTTATACAATACAAAGATATGTACCGAATATGAGTTTGAAATATTTAATTATTGTCACGATTTATTTGATTTAGATTTATGAATATGTAATAGTGTTTTACAATAAAACTATAATGTTTTTGTGATAGTGATACCTGAAACAAAAAAGATGAGCTTTGAACCCATTCTGTTGCTGATAATAATAATATTGGTATGTTTCCTTGTTGGATTTTTTGTTCGTGTTAAGTGGTTATTACAATTAAAATACAAGGTTAATTTAAGAAATGTAATCAGATAATATACCATTAAACATGAAAACAAATGCTTCCCTTGGACGAGGGATCACGTGGCTAAGTGGGTAAGACGCTGGCTCGCTAGCCTGGAGGTCGGGTGTTCGATCCCTGCATTGGCCGAGAAAGTTCATCCCGATTTTCCGGCGTGGTTTCCCCCTGTCGGTGATGCAGGATGGAGAGTCTGTCAAGAACAGCTGTCTAGTCGTTCGGATTGGACGAAAAACCGAGGTCCCGTGTACACTTTGGCGTGCACGTAAAAGATCCCTTGGCAGTTTGAATTCGATATAAGAGTAGGCCTTAGCGCCGCTGCCCGGGCAAAATTTCCCTCATGGCGTATGCCCGTCTTCATTAGGACGTTAAACTCCATTTCATTTCTTCCCTTGGATATGCACTTTACAGGTTTGGCAGAATGGTATTAGCAATCTGATTAAAATACAGATATATATTTCGTTTCTTTTTTTATACTTTCGATGGTCTTTACTACATGACGACCTGACCGGTTGTAGTGGAAGGTTGTGTCAGGGGTCATCCGAGCGGCTTTTAACCCTATGACGTCAGGCATTAATTAACCAATCCGTGTTGTTGTTTCTAGTTGGTTATCCACAGTTTCGTGCACCGCACGCCAAGAAGTATCCTTAACAGATCGTTTCAGTGGCTAACCCCTCGCCTCAACCAGAACGCGGGTTATATAGCAACTCTTCCGGATCCCAGTGTAGTAAAGACTAGCAAAACGAAATTTTGAACTGTAAAAAAAACGAAACGAAATAGGATCTGTCTTTTAATCCGATTGCAGTATTATCATTATACTGCAAAGTAGTCGTAGTTGCATCATTATACTGTAGAGACACAAATCAATAGTTGTATATAAAGCACGAAAAGTGACTAACTTGATTTTTTTTTAAAGACCCTAAACGGACACAAATTATGTGTGTTGTGTTTCATTTCAGTCACAAAGAACAGATGTATATCGTCCTAACATTAATATTTATATGAAATGTACATTGCAAAAATAAAAGTACGATTAAAGTTAGTTGACCAGTTGTGAATTTGTTCACACTATTTATATGA